GGCTTGGAATGGTACTTCCCGGCTGGGAATGGCTCTTCCTACCTTGGAATGCTTCTTCCTGGCTGGGAATGGTTCTTCCTGGCTTGGAATGGCCCTTCACGGCTTGGAATGGTTCTTCCTGGCTGGGAATGGTCCTGCCTGGCTTGGAATGCTTCTTCCTGGCTGGGAATGGGTCTTCCTGCCTTGGAATGGTTCTTCCCAGCTTGAAATGGTTCTTCCTGGCTGGGAATGGTCCTGCTTGGCTTGGAATGGTTCTTCCTGGCTTGGAATGGTCCTGCCTAGCTTGGAATGGTTCTTCCTGGCTTGGAATGGCCCTGCACGGCTTGGAATGGTTCTTCATGGCTGGGAATGGTCCTGCCTGGCTTGGAATGGCCCTTCTCAGCTGGGAATGGTTCTTCCCACATGTAAGGGTCCTGCTTGCCGTGGCCACAACAGCATGGGCTGGCATGGACCGGCACAGCACGGTCCTAGCCCAGCATAGCTCAGCATGGCCCCCGTAGCAAGCGGTGGCGTGGTCCAGCATGGCGTAATCCTGCCTGGAGTGGCCACAGAAGGGTGGGATGGCACAATCGGGCATGGCACGATTCTACCCAGCACAGGTGCAACAGCATGGGGTGTCTTGGACTGGCATGGACTGGCTTGGTCCTGCGTGGCATGGCCACTGCGGAATGGTGGGATGTGGTCCAGAATGGCCACAGATGGAAGGAGTGACATTGTCCTGCGTGGCATGGCTTGCTCTGGCAGGGACACAATAACATGGGATGGCATGGTCCAGCCCAGCTTGGTCCAGCATGGCCACAGCAGCATGGGATGGCCTCAGCATCGCCCATCCATGGAATAGCCATGGAAGGGTCCATTCCCTATGGCCACCATAGCATGGGTAGCATGGACCAGCGCAATCCAGGCACAATTGCCTGGCATGGCCATGGCAATGTGGTTTGGCATGGCGTGGCATGGCTTGGCACAGCACAGCATGGTGCTGCATGCCTCTCGGTGGCATGGCCAAGCACGGCACAGGACGGCCCATTCTCCCTGAATCCCTGCATTCCCTGGCCCCATGCCTGGACTGGGGCTGGGTAAGGGGGGTTCTGGCAGGGACCAGGGGCCTATGGTGCCAGGGGGCTTGGCTGAGGGCCCTCTGGATGGTGCCGTGCAGGAAGTGGAAGAGCCAAGCCATGCACAAGGCATCAGTAGGACACACCTTTATTTTGATGTCTCAGGGCCACAACAGGGCAAATCCCCACTCCCCACCCTACAAGCCCTTGGTCCAGAGTGGTTTGGTGACCATGGCTCCTTAGCTGTCCCACGCTGGGACGCCAGCGCGGCGCGGGGCCAGCGGCCCCGACTCGGACATGGCCGGCGAGTCGCTGTTTCGCGCCTGGGTGAAGATGCGGTTGCGGGTGCCAAAGAGGGTCCCGCGGCCGTGGCTCCGGGGGGCGTAGGGCCTGCGCTGGCAGCGGAGCGAGCAGAGGGGGGCCCTGAAGACCTCCTGGAAGCCCCGCCGGAAGTTCTCATTGAAGTAGCCGTAGATGATGGGGTTGGCACTGCTGTTGAAGAAGGCCAACCAGTGGGCGAATGGGTAGATGTAGACGGCGAGCAGGCGGAGCTGGCCCTCGCTCAGCCGCCCGTAGTCAGTCAGCAGCATCAGTGTCCAGAGGGGCAGCCAGGAGATGGTGAAGAAGAGGGCAACAATGATGAGCATATTGATGACCTTGGCCTTCCTCCGGGAGATCCTCCTGCCCTCCGGCTCCTCTCCGCCGTGGGCAGGCGCCACCGACTTGAAGAGCTTGAAGGCGATGCGGGCGTACATGATGACAATGAGGACGAGGGGAGCCACGTAGATGTGGGAGAAGAGGACGATGGTGTAGATCCTCCTCATCTCCGTCTCGGGCCAGGCCTCCCAACAGGAGTAGAGAGGGTAGGAGTTGTTGTAGGTGTCCACCATGAAGTGGTGCTCCTCCCTGGTGACAGTCAGGGTGACGGCAGCAGGGCACATGATGAGCAGGGCCAGCACCCAGATGATGGCGATGGTCAGCAGGGCTTTCCTCAGCGTCAGCTTCTGCCGGAAGGGGTGGACAATGCAGCGAAACCTGTGGGAGAACAGATGGTGGTGGCTTTGGGCACCTGGTGGGGACATCACTGGGGAAGGAGGGCGGCCAGGACCCAGAGGTGGGAATGGAGGGGGTGGTAGGTTGCTCTTTACGCGTGTCTTTTGGTGGAAGAGATAGCTTGGTGTCTTCAGCCCAGCGTGGGGAAGGACACCATGCTGGAATACCCCATGGACAGCTTTGTGGTCTCCCTGGAGAGCTGTGACAAGTTCCTGACATTCCCAGGAGTTTTCTCGCAATGGGAGCCGCACAGGGCACCTGGACCTGCTGGAGATTGCCTGGTCCCCACATCCCCACGTTCCCATGCCGACGTACCTCTCCACAGCGATGGCGACCAGCGTGAAAACGGAGGCAGAGACGGACATGCCCTGCACCAGGCCGCTCATTTTGCACATGGTGTTGTCAAAGGGCCAACCTGTGAGGGGACACCATGGAGGCTGTAGGTGCCTCTGGCTCACCCAGCTCCCTTCAGGTGTCTCCACCCACTGTGTTGTTGCTGGGGGATGCCAAGTCGTGCTCCTAACAGGGGGCTTGTGTGGAGATAGCCTTTAGCAGCACAGATCCTTGAAGAAGAACCCCAAGATTGGTAAAAAAGACACACATTACACTTAGAAACTCAAGGAACGTGGAGGCTGTCATTTTTCCTACCGGCTTTGGGATCCTTAATCAGAAGGACTTACATCTTGTTTCGTGACCCCAATATCAAGGCAATAAATAGATCACACCCCATAATCAATAAATACAAACCCTGCCCCATGGCCTGGCCACTGCTGCAGCTGATCCCTCCCAACTCCCTTATCTCTGGAAAGGTCAACAGGCAGAGCTGAGCCAGCACGGGAGAAGGTGGATGCAGGAAGAATAGGAGGTTTTTTTCAGCGTTGCTTGGTGAAGAACGGCTGAACTTCAAACAAATATGCAAATGCAACATTAGGGTCAAACTTATTTTACCACAAATGGCCAAAACCTCAAAAAAAAAAAACCCCAGAAAAAGAAAGGATGTTTCCCAGTCATGCATGGGGGACGCTTTCTCTCCGTTCCTCGCGTCTCTCCCCTTCCTCTGCCCTGCTCACCTGTGATGAGGTTGTCCACCAGGGTGGTGGGCATGCAGAAGATGCCCACCAGCAGGTCGCTGATGGCCAGGTTGAGGAGGAACATGTTGGTGACCGTGCGCATCTGGCGGTTCTTCACCACGACAAAGCACACCAGGACGTTGCCGATCACGCACATGAGGAAGATGAAGGTGTAGGCCAGGATGAACATGAGGGCCACAGGGGAGGAATGCTGGTAGTATGCCAGGAAGGTGTAGTTCTCCCTCAGGAGGTGGCTGGCACTGGAGTTGGGCCACCAGGTGCCATAGGAAGGGCCTGGGGAAGGCAAGGCAGGAAAATGAAGCCAGGAGAGAATAAAGCAATTATTCCCTTCATTTCTTAATGCCTCCAGAGGTGGGTTTTCATATTTATTCCAGTGCCCAGACTGGCTGGGACATGTCCTGCTGGACTCATCTTTGTGCCCCAACAAGTCTCCTCCTCCTTGGGTTACACAACTCAAGCTTCTGCAGCACCTTGGCTGAATTATTATTTTAACACCGTTATGGTTTGATATCACTGATATCATTATTATTTGATATAATTATTGTTTGATATCGTTATTACTTGATATCATTATTATTTGCATCGTTCTTTTTGGTGAGCAGCCCAGAAGATACCCTGATCTCTTTAGGGATGATGGAAGGAAGACAAATCCACATCCTGACACTCCAATGCTCTGGCCTTATGGGAGCTGTGTCCGGGCTGGCCTGGGAGCATCCCTGCCCCCGCTGCTTCTCCTTCTGCTTCCAAGGTTTACAATTCCATATTCCCCAAAATCTTGTTTCCCCAACGAAGCCGCAATAACCAGGAGAAAGGGACTGGGGCAGAGGACACCCTCCCCTCCCATCTAAAGCGAGAGTTGTCATTCTGATCATTAGCTGGGAGCTTCTGATGGAGGCGCGGGGGTGGAATTTTGTCACTACGGATGGAACGGGGCTCCGCAGCTCCCACCCTCGGGCTTCCCCAGCCGCACGCAGGCAGGGATGCGGGAGGATGCCGGGCGTGGGCAGGAGCTGCCTGCAGCGGTGACGGGACTGACTCCGGGAGAATCCAGGCTGCAGTGGTGAGGCGAGGAAAGGCACATTTTAGCTTTAAGCGCCTGTAGGACAGCCCTGCAAAGCCGCTGTGTGATGGGCAGCTGGAGCATCCCCCCTATCCCTGTGCCTGGTGCTCAGCTCGCTAGCCGAGATGCTTTTCCGAGCCACAGGGACCACCGGCTTCCTCAGGATTCCGGCCCTATTCAGCCCCTAACACCCCAGTCCTGGGTTCAGGATTTGGGCAACACATTTCCAGTGGGGATTCAGAAAGGCGCTGGGGGTGCAGCCCACACAGGAGAAGGAGCCTCTTGGAGAGGCAAGGGAGTAGCGGGATCAGGGGGGGCAAGATTCTATCAGATACGTGAACCAGCTTTGTAAGCAGGAATAATAACAGAGACTGTGATGAGATTACTCAAAACCTGTGACATTAAGCCTAAAACTTCACTGGACTTTATCTTTTGGGGCTGCAGTGCAGCATGAGCAGGAGGTTAGTGTCCTATGGATTTGGAGGTGGTTTTAAAAGCCAGGTGGAAGATGGGGAAAGGAAAATAAGGGGCTGCTGAGCACCCGGGTTGGTGCTGGATGGATGGATGGATGGATGGATGGATGGATGGATGGATGGATGGATGCAGGTGTCCTCAGTTCAGCACTGACATCTCGGACGTGGTGACAGGGGGATGAGGGGGACCGGACAGGGGGCGATGGACCACCCGCCTCCTTTCCTGGCTGTGGGAAACCACCGCAGGGAAAGGCTGGTCTGATGGAATAGGGGGATGAGGGGTGGATAGCTCTTTTGGGGGATAAAATCAATCAGCTCTTGGCACTCACCTCCTCCGGCCCGACCCGGCTCCGGGGGCTGCATCGCTGCCGTGCAGGAGCTACCGCCGGAGGCGATCGGCTGCCCGGGGAGAGGGCGCAGCTCGCCCCCGTCCCTCCCTCCCGCCCGCTCCGGAGCTCCGGTGCCGCCGCTCCGGTTGCGGCTGCTCGCCGGCTGCAGCGGAGAAGGGGAGGGGGCGCGGGGGGAAACAGCCTCCCATCGCCATGGATACCGGGGGACCCGCACGCAGCCCCTCGCGGATGAGGCAGCGCGGGGGCGGGCAGCCCACGCGGGGCAAGGAGAGGGAAGGGAGAAGGTTCGGTCCCTAGGGAGAGTCCGGGTCTCTGTCCCCTCGCTGCCGCCGAGGTCCCCACACTGATGCTGGCAGCTGATGGCCGGTGTCCCCGGCAGCTCCACTGTCCATCCCGGGAGGAAAATATGCCAGGAGCCCCAAGACGAGTGGGGAGATCCCACATCCATGAATCCACACGCAGGGAAAAGCAACACGATGTTTAGGGATGCTGGTCCTGGCTCCAGGCTGCCTCACTTAACCCCAGCTCCTCCAGCACGCCCAGCATCTCTTACCATAATCTTTTACCAAAGTTTGGCAAGCCTAGAAGTTAAATGTTTACAGGATTTACAATTCCTGGCGGTCCCCAGCCCGCACAGAGCATTGGGAAGTGTTTGCCCGTTAAATACCCAAAGGAACAAACAAGGGAGGTGTTTAAACAAGGCGTTTTGAGATAACACCTGGGGTTTCTCCCAGGAGTTTTTTGAGGTTTTTTTTGCAGGCAGCCAACTGCTAAGGGACATGGGTGTGCTTGGAAGTGGTCTCCCTGCCACTGAGAAGCCACTTTCTCCAGGATATTTATTCCTGGGAAGGGAATCAGCACAGCTCGAGGAACTACAGCACCCGAGAGGTGGATGCACACTTCTGGGGACACCCACGGGGTGAGCAGCCTGTGGGGACCCACTGGCATTGGGTGGCACTGGTTTCCACGGTGAAAAAACTAGAAGGGAACAAGAATTCCTTGGAAAACAAGGATTTTTCCAGGGAAATACTGCTTGGGTCTGTGAGAATCCAGCTGGAGGCTGCAGTGAGCAGCAGTGAGAAGGGGTTTCTTTAAGGACAAGACTGGTAATTCGAATTTAATCAGATACAAACCCCCTGATGAAACAGGAAAGCATTTAATCAGGCACTTGGCACACCACCACGTCAGCAATTCCAGGGAGAACCCTTACAGCCACAGGGATGCCCTCCACTATCTCAGCTGCTCCCCACCAGAGCCCAGCTGGGAGGGTGAACATCCAGATCTCCCCCCAGCTCCTCTTGCAGCTCCTCTGCATCTCCAAAAACACATAAGCAGGAGATTGCCTGGCTTGGGACTTGGCAGAGCCATCCCTTCACGGGGGAGCCCCGCTGCTTGCTTTTAATTTAGGAAAATCGAGGCACTCGCTCGGGTTTGGGACAGAAACAGGGGCATAGCAGGGACTGACCTAAGCCAAACCACTCTCGTGGGATCACTCTTGGGACAGCTCGGGCACCCTGGGATCCTGTCAGGCTTTAGGGATGGGCTCCTCTGGAGACAGCAGCAGGTCGAAGGGAACGAGGGGCCGGACCAGCAGCCGCACCTCGGGGCCGACGGGGTTCGCCCGCAGGTTGAGGCTCCGCAGCAACGCCATGGAGGCCAATTTATCCATGGGCACCTCTGGAAAGAGAGCATGGAGGTGAGAATCTGTCCTGGAGGGGTGGAAGGGATGAAAGCTCCTCTTGATGATCTGCTTTGATCAAAGCAGGAAGGCGGTGAAATATTCATTTATCCATCTGCTCAGGCAAATGGTTATCGGTTGGACTCGATGGTCTTTTCCAACCTAAATGATCCTGTGATTCTATGGAATGTGTCAGCAAGGTGCAGACACCAAGATATCCAACGTGGGCACTGCCCTTCAGTTCTCCCAGTCCTGCTGGGACACTAAATTGGGATTCAAGGACTTATTCCCTGATTTTATCCCTGGTGTTGCAATGCCCAGGAGCCCTCTCCAAGCTGACAGGAGAACAAGTGGTCTTTGCCCTTGTTGGACAGGCTGCAAAATGGCTCTCAGCCATCAACAGGCACCCTTCTATTTTGCAATTTCCATGGATTTGGGTGCTGTCCTTTAGAAAACATTGCATTAACAAACTTTGTATTAAAAAAAAAAAGGGTGCAGCTCAGCTGGATGATCCCAATGTGAATTCACTGAGAGCTGAGGGAGGAGACTGATATGAAAACCTAACCCATTAAGCTCATTAAAAGGTGATAGGTTTTGCTACAATTCACAATATTTTGGGCTTGCAAAGCCCACCTGTCTGATTTACCTAAACCAATTCCTTTTTCATTTGGATGCCGAAATCACAAGAGCCTTTTATTTCCCAGCTCCTGTTTCTTCTGCCAGCACCTGGAGCAGAACTGCAGTGTTGTAATTGTGTCTGGTAGATGATTATGTGATTTTAAAACCATGAAACTTATTTTATGCTAGAAAAAGACTCAAACACTTCAATGCCTTTGTTTTTTTCCCCCTCTTTTGCCTCCAGAAAACAGTGCTATTTTCCATACACAAATTCCCTAGGAGTGCACATCTCATCAGGCAGAGCTTCACATGAATTTTTTTAATAACTCTTCTTCATGGTGGATTTGTTCACTGCTATTCCCCTGTATCATTTTGCTTGGCTTTTGTTTTTTTTTTTTTTTCCCTTGAAGCACAAAAGTAATATTTATTTTTTTTCATAGATCTTCCTATTTAATCATCGTCTAGTGAAGTGGAGAATAAGAAGTTTAATCATCCTCTTAGGCAGCATGATAAAGTTTAAAGTGCTTTCACTCATTTTGCTTAAATTAGGGAGTTTAGTAAAGTGTTTTGGGGACCAAGACCTTCCCAGGTCAGCTCTACACCTGAGTTCCAGGTAAGGAGCAGTGACTCACCTCTGGCATGAAGGGACAGGCAGGGCACACAATGCAGCCTGTAGGGTTGTGCCCTGAGAGCCACAAATTCCTCTAAAAACCACCCAAAGCATCACTTGTTGCCTTCCCCATGGATGAGGCACTTGCATTTCAGCCTGAATTATTCATGCTGGCTCCACCAGTCAAGCAGAAAACAGGGAGGGAAAAGGCTTTTACGTGATTAAAGCAGAATGTGACAATAAGTGGGATGCTCTGGGTTGGAAGGGACCTTAATGCTCATCCCTGGATGGAGGCAGGGACTCCTTCCACTATCCCAGGTTGCTGTAAGCCCTCTCCAGCCTGGCCTTGGACACTTGCAGGAACCCACAGCATCTCTGTGTCAGTGTCTCATCACCCTCAAAGGGAAGAATTTCTTCCCAATATCCCATCTAACCCTACTTTGAGTTTGAAACCATCCCCCTTTATCCCATCTCCAC